TTCTCTGTCAGAACTTCTGGTAAGTTTATTTGGGTTCACAGATGAAAATACTGTGAAAACAGTTCATTTACATCACACTGAATGACAACAACTTCAGCTCATTTATTTATTTAAAACTATTTATTGAATAGCTTTATTGAGATATAATTCACATACCATACCATTTGCCCATTTAAAGTATATACCTCATTGGCTTTTGGAGGTATGCAACCATCACTTCAATAATTTTGGAACATTTTCATCATCCCAAAAGTGAGAAACTCCATGCTCATTAGCAATCACCCCATTTTCATATCAATGGAATCATACAGTGTGGTCTTTCGTGATTGGTTTCTTCCATATAGCATAATGTTTTCAAGGTTCATCCATGTTGTAGCATGTATTAGTACTTCATTCCTTTTTTGACTGAATAATTTTCCACTGTATGGATGTACCACACTTTGTTTATTCATTCATCAGTAGATGGACATGTAGGTTGTTTTTACTTTTTGGCTATAATGCATAATTCTGCTAGGAACATTTGTGTACATGTTTTTGCATTGCCTGGCCCCTTAATTTTTTCTAATTGTATTTAGATGAAGGTTTACAGAACAAACTAGCTTCTCATTGAACAGTTAGTACACGTATTGTTTTATGACATTGGTTACCAACCCCACGACATGTCAACACTCTCCCTTCTCCACCTTGGGTTCCCTATTACTACCTTTCCTGTCCCCTCCCACTTTCTAGTCCTTGTCCCTGGGCTGGTGTGGCCCTTTAGTCGCATTTTGTTTTATGGGCCTGTCTCATCTTGGCCCCTTATTTTTAAACACACAAGGCACTCAGTAAAAAGAAGAATTCTTACAGGTATAATAAAGTTATAAAAAAAAATTGTTGTGCAATTGTTCCAGAATTTTCAAGAATGAAACGTTTCTGTTTCCAATTTTACAAAGGTTCGTGTGACAGGGAAACTGGCATCATTATTCCATCACAGAGTCAAAAAATCCTAAAAGGTTAGATGTTCCCTAAGATATCTTCTTTTGCTAAGTCAACAACTTAATATTTTCTATTCTCCTTAAATAGAAGAATAAAGACGAGGTTGTGGACATCCTCTGGCCTGGGGGAACTTATCAGCAAACATTACTGAGCCCCTTCCAT